TTGTTTTAGCATAGAAAAATTTTAAATGATAATTCAAGTATGGTATAGTATGTTATATTGTTAAATAAAAATTAAATAAAAAAATAATAAAATTGTTATTTCCGATTGATGAACTACCATAAATGAAAGGAGTAAATCATACTTCAAACCTTCAATTTTATAGTTTATTTTTACTAGATTTGGCCTTTAAAAACTTGATGGCCAGGGGTTAGAAGTCCTACACGGTGACACATATAATATATATCCGATTTAATTTACATGAGCTGAATTTGATAAATAATAATGATAATCTTGAAAGTCCGAAGTTTCATTTTCTTATGGCAGTGCTCAAATGATTTCTATATGAGTGATGTCAAGAGAAAAGGGAACGTTCGTTTTATTGATTATTTTATCTGAAGATCGACAGCATATCGGCTTTCACTAAGATGGCAATTTCAGGGATTTCATATCATAATTCTGTAATTGAAAGCCTGATGTGTTGTCGATCACCAGATAAATAATCAATAAAAACAAATGTTCCTGGCGTTACTCATATATTTTGGGTTTATACATTTAACCTATCTTTTTTATCTTAATAAGTTGCTTTTTTTTTTTTTTTTTTTTCCAAATTTGACATATTATATCTTTATTCATCATTTTATCTATCAATACAGTCGTTAATTGGGGTTATTCATATTAAAAAGGCCCATTTTGCAATATAAACAATTTTGAGATAATTGAGTTTAATAATTTGTTTTGATTTTCGGACTGATCCGGGATTAAGCAAATTTCATGATTTTGATTGGTTAAGAGTAACAGGTGACTATCGGGTAATCTCGTGATATTCTTGGCCTTAGACAGCTTCGTGTAATTTTTCTTTATATTATCTCTATTTTTTATTAAGCAAATCGCCTTTCACTTATAATTGAAAAATGTTAGTCATGTCAAAATTTACATGAATCTAATAAAAACTCATTTTTCGAAAATTTGCAAAATGGGCCTTTTTAATATGAATAACCCCATTAATTATTCTTGCATATGGGATCTTAATTCGTCCGCGGGAAAATTATAGTCCCGCAAAAAACCCAATATGGTATGTTTAATGATGGGACCTCCTGAATTATTAATAATTAATAATGATTATTAATTGGTTGATCGAATTATTAACTAATAACGACTTAATAATGTATGGCGCAACTAATTAGTGCAAGATGTTTAAAAAACGAAAAGTTGCGTCAAAAATTGCAGAGATATTTAGCGGACTAAATTTTTATTAAATCCGTTGGTAGTTTATTTAATTCATCATATCGATATTATTAGCGATGATCGAAGTTATTAACTATTAATAATATTAAATTAATAACGCATTATTAATTTTTTCATTATTATAATCATACGTTTTATAGTCGTGCAACCAAAATTCAGAAAAAATCGGCCAAAGTTTAAGTTGGAATACATCGAAGTTAGGCCAGTATTAATCAATAATAATAACTAACTATATTATAGCAAAAATTAGTGTCTGGGCAATTTTATTTACGCGTGAATTACTGAATCACGTATATTTTAGCAAATTTTATCAATTCGCTGAATTTTGGTTGCACGACCAATCTATTCCGATACGACGTATCGAGCTACCCTAAGCACGGACATTTATTTATAAAATATGAGAAATATTATATAGACTAGTAGATTAAGCTTTATATAAATATTATTAATTTAAAAACATTAATAAATATAAAATTAAAAAACATTAATAAATATAAAATTAAAAAACTTAAATAATTAATTTTTAAATATATAAATTATATATAATACTGGCTATGTTCTTTATACGTAATCAAGTTCATATAATCCAAAACAAAAATTACCCAATAAAGTTATAGTTGCAAAAATGATCTTAATAAAATTAATAATTAAAAAATTACAAAAAAATTAAAGATTTAGTAGCAAAAGTTAAAAGTTATCAATTTTGATTTACAAAGAAAAATAATTTGCATATTCTATTGCAAATAGAAAACCATTTACTATTTATGCATAATATGCAATTTAGTATATTGTTTAATTTTAGTAAATAAACTATTAGCATTAATAAAACGTAAGTATTTAATTTTTTGTTTAATATTAATTAGAGATGGGATTAAAATGAATCGAAGTTAGTATAGACCAATATCTAAACATCACAGAGATTAAACACAACATAGATATTACAATTGGGGTAATATATATGTATAAATATATATATATATAATATATGTTACATTATATGTAACATTAGGTGCTATATATACTCATGTGACATTTAGGCGGTGGCTAAATCGATTCGTCTAAAAACTTTACAATTTTAATTGACCAATGCTAATCATTATTAATAAAATAATGTGTTGTTGGAATTTTATAGTGAAAATATTTATCAAATTTTTATTTAATTTTCGTATTGAATTATAATTTTAAATGATTTTTATTTTTTTTAAAATATTAATTTTTTTTTTTAAAGAGTATTTTAATTAATCAATAATAAATTAAATTTTATTTTGCATTTTTTTTTTAATTTTTAATTTAATTATTTATAGTAATATTTATCGTCAATTTACAATATCGGAATAATTCTCAATGTAATAAAACAGAAATTCCTAAGTAACCAACTTAAACCAAACAAACATTAATTTTTTAACAAAGTTCTTTGTCTTTTTTCAATAGATGCATTCAATAAATACAAAGACCAAATATAATATCACATAGGACAAAAGAAAAACCATATACGTAAAAATAACTTGAAACACTATGATAAATCTCACTTTGTAATTAATTATTTTTTTATCGTTCACGAGTTCTTGCGTAAAAAAATAAATTAGGAATTAATTTCATTCGAATGATCGGTGAAAATATATAAAAATTCCGATAAATTGATCACAAAAGAAAACGTGAGATGAATGAACAAAAAATTTTTATCGATCATTAATTATATTTACAAGCGATTATTCATACTTTTTCGAAAAAAAAAAAAATTTAAAGTTTCCAATTATTTTATGACAAGGGGTATGAATCTGTATGAATCTGTTTTACATGTTTAACGATAAATAAAAGAATTTTACATGAGTTTTATGCAGCTAAATCACTTATGCAAATTATCTAAAGAAGCATACGTTTACTAAATTTATTTAGTCAACGCATGCAGAGTATTTAAAATTAAGGAACGTGTACTTACGTACGTACGCACGTATGTGCACTTTAAGATAACAGATAATTGATATGATATTAGATAATTGATAATAGATATCATAATTGCTGAACTAATTTTAAATTTATCAAACGTTTATCAAATTTCAAAGTCGGATGAAACAGAAACAGATGTACGTACGTAAATTTCAAGTCGGATGAAACAGATGCACATATTCAGACATTTTAAACAGTGCATAATGTGTATTTAATGTTAAAAGAAAGAAAATCATTAGTATATTTTGATGCATGAGTGACATTAAATGAGATATACGGTTTTGAGGGAATTGGTGAAAATCCCGAAATTCTATATTGCATGATTTAAATGTATTAGGAAAAACAAATTGTAAGGTTTCGGGACTGAATGTCGCAATTCGCAATCGACATTGTAAAGAAATGATAACTAATTATATTATATAAATAATCACGAACACATAATCATAGTTGTGATTAAGTTGATTACAAAATTCCAATAAGCAGATAAGCAGTTGATCATTAAATTAATCTATTAACGGAAGAGGTGCGTACATACATAACGAATTGTCATAAGTGTTATAAGGATTAAAATCAGTATAATCAACTAAACATGGTAGTCGACTAAGACTGATTCTAACCTTTAGTCATCAATTTGACGCGATAAATCGGAAAAATTTGAAAATCTGTATAAATTTTGAATTCGACATACACGTATTAACGTTAACCAATCTTATCTTTAAAAGGATAAAAGGATTGAATAGCATGTACAATATTCTAGCATAGTCAGATAATTCTTTTACGCACGTATAACAGTATAATCGGGTTACTTATGTATGTATGTATGTATGTACTTCGGATGGACGTAAAAGCATGCCACCGGATTTCTAAAAAGAAAAACCAATCTAACCAAACGTTAAATATAACAAAGAAGCGATTAGGTACTAGAAAAGAATTACTCTCAATAATCCCATAAACAAGATACGTACATCCAAATTTATCAAATATTAATTGAAAATCTAGGTTATTTTTAATTGGTGACGTGATATTGCTTTTCTACACATAAAGAATGTATGTTTTATAATATATTTTATGAAAGATATACAAAAATATAATAAATATTGTATTCATTATTAATATATTATCATAACGCTATCGCTTTAGTTAAAAATCCCTATATATCACATCATATTACAACTACAGTATTGCAACTTGTTTATTGTTACTCCTTTGTTTAACGTTAACCTAATATATTTAATGTAAACAAATGTTCTTATAAATCTGCTACGTATTATCGTATTATGAATATATATATACAGTAATTTATATATATATATCGATGTATAACGAATATAGTGTGTAACAATACTGTATATATAATATATACTGTAATATATAGTACATAATAATATAAATTATTTATATGCTATACATTTTTCTTTTTATATCAGTATACAATTATCATATATATATATATATATATATATATATATATATATATATATATATCCTTATTTATGTACTGTAAAAAAATTTGCCGAATGTTATCAATTTTTTTTCTTTTTAGTACTTCTAGGAACTATAAAACTCACGCTTTTCGCGTTCTCGAAAATTTTTTCATCACTTCATTTTTTAGCGGGCTTAGAAATAGAAATGTTATATAGTGGTGCATTTTATTGATTATTTAAAACAAATTATTTAAACACTAAATTTCCCCCATAGATCCCATTTTTTACTTTTCGTTTTTTTTTTTCCTTTTTTTCTTTCCATTTTCTTTTCTTTTTCTTTTTTAGATACAATAGATATTTATTGTTTATTATTTTTTTAAAACGATGACTGTATGGTTTTTGAAAAACAAGGAAGGTGATGTAATACCACCAGAAGAAATAACATCCGAACAACGGTGTAAACTCTCAAAGCTTACTCGAGATGATCTATTTCCACCAAAATTTAGCATAGATGAGATTGAACCGTTAAAGTACAATCAGGATGGTACACCCAAAGATAAGCGTTGGATGAATTCATTCATGTGCTTTCGAAGGGTATTAGGACTCCATTATAAACGTTTCAAAATTGTCTTCAATGGTACCGAACTTTCGCAACTTGCCAAGCTGATCTGGTATGGTGCTAGCGAAGAAGAGAGGAATATATATAAACAAATTTCAAAAGATTTGAGAGAAAGACATTATCAACTTATTCCTAACTACGTATTTCGTAAGGCGCCAAAACCTACCGATGATTATATAAATTACGGTCCTGAAACCTTTGAAAGAAAAAGGAAGTGCGAAGATGATATCCAAAGGGTTAAGAAACGAATATGTAAAAAAGATTCAGAGTCTACGAACGTCATCGTGCTCAGTGAATCATTCAATAAATCATTCAGTGAATCATTTAATGAATCATTCAGTGAATCAGATAATAAACAACCTACTTCAACAACTTTAAATACCGTGGCATATTTTCCATACGACGGACAAAATTTTACTGAAGTAGAACCATTTCAACAAAATAATCTCTGTAACATTGATTCAACAGCGGATTATACGCTATGGTCGCAAAGTTTCGCACCTACTGTAGATCCTGGAATGAATATGCCATTAGGATTTCCAGAAAACTTAGTATTTCCAAACGAAAACTTGAATTACATATTGTTCCACGACGGAACAAACTTTCAGGACACTTACGAGATCCCGATTTCTTGTGAAGTCTCCTTAAACGAAAGTTTCGATAATTCTTGTTGTTACTATCAACCAATAAATTAGTACAGCTTTTTTTTGTAAAATATATTCGGTTTAATTTCGTGAGCGTCATTTTTTTTTTTTCGGGCGGAAAAATTTTTTTAAATACGTTTTTTATTTTTATTTTTTTTTTGTTGCTAATTTTTTTTAGCACTAATCGCTTTTCGTTATATCGTTAATTTAACCGTAATCCAAGCACAAGACTTATTTAATGCAAGTTTTTTTTTTCGATTCGCTTTAACATCCACATTTTTTTTTCATCACGACATTTGAACTTTGTTATAGTTCATTTCAATGTAACATATGTACATGGCATTGGTAGAGTAATTATAATAATAATAATAATAAAAATATAAAAAAAAATTATTTAATTATCGAAATTTTTCAAATGAATTATTTTATTTTATAAAAAGGGGTTTATATATATAAAAGTGGGCGAAAAACGAAAAATGGAAGAAAAAATTTGACAAGTATTTATTATTTCTTTGGATCTTGAAGTGTTCTTGATTATCCGTCATCTAATTTGATCTAGCGCAAGGATGATCAACATGCTTCGGCAAAATTCTGTGTTGCAAAAAAAAGGCGTACGTACGTATGTCGGAGTTAAAACTCCATTAAGAATTGTACACATTTGTTTGTCTATCATCTACGCACGTTCGTACGTTACGCACATTCGTACGCTGCGTACGTGCGTACGACCAATTATATATATAAACTTTGACTAGCGATTCTTTGGATCAAAGTTATTTTTGATTAGTCATCGTTGAGATATATAAATTGTGCTAGCAAAAAAAAGACTTAGCTTATTATCGTTAGAAATGTTACTATTACGTAGTAAATGCTATTATATAACAACCAACCGCTACTATTATATTACTGCTAATAGGATGATAGTGACACGTGCAGATCTATTCAAATATAACTTTATGCAAGATAAGGCACTCGGTCTTTACCGTACCACGTGTTAGTTAAACATACATACATCAGATGACGTATTATAACAAGGAAAATTTTTGATAAGGAATTGTCACGAGATCTTAATTACATGAATGAAGTTTTCATTATTACTTTTGCTCTTTATTTTACTTTATATATTAGTTCTTTGTCTTTCTAAGAGAAGTTATGTCAATACTTAGGTCACAGGTTCATTATTTATAGAAACTTTAATTCTGACCTTTTCTTTCTTTTGACGAATTTTGTATACCAAAACATTGTAATACGCGCTATTCTTGCAACTATATTCTATATATGCTTTAACTATTAAAGCCACAATAAAGACGTAAGCACATATATATATATATGGTATGTAGTCCGTGGAAAATTAAACTTTGACAAATTGAGTTATGAATTTCAAGATAACCCGGATATTTGTTTATGATTAATAGTAGATAATAGATTAATAGATAACATCTTTTATAAAAATAAAAATAAAAAATAAAAAAAAATATCACTAATTCAATTTAATTCAATTGTAATACTTTATTTATCATTGTACTTATCTCAAAAGAATTTTTTTCCTATACGTACGTACGATTGTCCATTAATATTTGTTATTCAATAAATATGCACGAGGACACGTGGTGTAAATGACCTTCAAATTATGCAACTTCTGCAAGGAATACATCAACTTAGAAGTCATGTTTACATTTGCATATCATTAATGCCAAAGAATCTCAAGATAGTACACACACAAAGTAAATATCAAATGCATAATATTTTGATTTATTATTTTTATTCTAATCTTTCACAAAATCTCATGAAATAAATAAATAAATAAATATGTTGTAGATTAAGAAAGTTTGAAATTGGACATATTCTCGCGTCTCTCATGACCTTATGTATAAAAATATGTCGCTATTCACCGTAAATTTATGACCAAATATTTATTTTTAATGCCTAACATAAAGTCACCAGGTATTTCATTTTCGGATGTTAAAAAGAGTATAAAATTTTAAATTTAGAAAAAAAATATCACGCGCTTTTCATAAGATTTTATTCAATGTCGTGCGCGTTTCGTTTCCTTAAACAGTTGAAATTTTTACAAATTTAAATGAACAATGTTAAACTAAAAATAAATGAATAAATTGAAAGTAGAAAATAAACAACCATCATTGCATTATTACATTTTTACATGTAAAGTTATCAATGTCAGGGTTACAATTATTGATAATCCCCGATGATCTTCATTGTCTTAATTAATCTTATTAATGCAGAGATGTTGGAGATAATGTAAGTAAATAGTTCAATCGGGAGTTAGCTTTTTGGCACGTGTATAATACATCGTTATCAGTTGGCATTAGAACTTGTTGTTATGAAACTTAATACGTAATATGCTTTTAACCAACATTATACATTTGTAGTACTATTTATTGTGTGCCATTTTTTTTTTACGCTTTGTATTTTGTTTTTTACTTTGTTTATACTTTGAATAATACTAAACACCCACATATATTTTTGGTATTTTTGTATTTTTGATTACTAAAGATTTAAATTTTGATAAGCTGAAAAATTTTTACATTGAGAATCAGATACGTACCAATCACTTTTCTAGTTTAGAAATATAGCAGTCGTGATTGAACAACATTGAATGTTTAAGTAAATTCAAGATTACTATAATAATATTATTATCATTATTTAAAGTTTTATTTAATTTTTCTTTTATTATGGAAAAAATAATACAACAGTCAAAAGACGAATTAGAATTATTATTTAACTACGTATAAAGGTGTAGACATTATAACATACGGCACAGCCATTACCCTTAACTTGAAATATGTCTACACCACTAATTTTAACAAAAAGACTGTATAATTCATAAATAAAAAATGAAATTTACTACAATTGTTTTCGAAAAGACTGTTTTTCTTTCCATATTGTACAAAAGAACCTAATAAATTTAATAACTTTCATATATATATATATATAAAATAACTTATACTACACATAAACACTATATAAACATTATATAAACACGATATAAACACGATATAAACACGATATAAACACGATATAAACACTATATAAACTCGCATACACAATTTCTTATACTATATAAATGTCCAAAAAATAAAAAAAGATTATCAATTATTAAAAAGAAGATATTCTTCATAAATTGGAGTACATACTTGATACGTACTGTACGTATTGGTATCTGGTATGTACTGTATGTGCTAAATAAGTATGTATGTACTTTGACTATCAATACTTAAATAGCACGATAAGCCTATTATACCTTTCCCTATAAATGACCTATTTCTTCCAAAAAAAAAAAAAAAATTTAAATAAATAAATAAATAAAAAGAAAATACGTAAATACGAAATTTAAATATTCTTATCATTATTATCATTATTAGTCGTTTGCTGAAGTAAATCAAATAATAATGAATAATCAAAATTCATGACATTGGTAGAATCAGCATAACGATAATTTATAATAGCCTCATTATTTAGCTGAGGGTATATAACGTTCGTTGGGTCATAGAGTAATTGTGGCATGACATCCTCATTTTCTTTTGCAATTTCGTTTCCGTTTGAAGAAACACATTTTTCAACAAAATGTTGACCTTCAAATAAGTAGTACGAATTTATTAAATTACTTTCTTGTGAAACATCCAAGGTCTTTTGCTCTTCAACAGGTTGTTTTGAGTCTTCTGAGTCTTCGACGGACTCTAAAAGAACTGGTCCTATATGCGTAGATCTTCCAGTAAGATTTATAAAAGGATCTTGGAGCGGTTTAGTTGGAGCGTATTCGTATTCAGGGAACATAGTTTTATGCAGTGACTTCACATCCTTAGCAATTATTTCAAACGGCTTTTTCTGTTCATCTGATGCACTATTCCAAAATTTAGAAGCAACGTGCGTAATCTGACGCATGCGATGTTTGCGAGGAATATTGTTTGAAGCTTCTATAAGCTTCTTAAGACTCTTTTTGAAAACCATAAATTTGTTTAGAGGGCGTTTAACCCGTTTATTGCCTGCTTTTCTAATAGGTGACGTGATCAAATCATTTATTATTTCCTCCGCGCTCAACATAGGCTTGAACACATCGTTTTTGTCAATAACGGATAGTGCAACTTCTACATCTTCTATTTTGCTTCCTTGATTTTTTGAAAAATCAAGGAAAGTATTATTATTAAATATATTGGTAGACATTCTTTCTATCTTGTATATAAATCTTGTATATAATTATTTAAATGTATAGTATCTTTTGCTTTTTTTATTTTTTATTTTTTTAAATTTTTTTTTTTATTTTTATTTTTAAAGGATCAAGTTAGCATTCGAAATTGTTGCCTTTATATAAATCTTTTTAATCACCCTAATAAAAAAAAAAAAAAAAATAGGGTATAAATTTCATTTTAAAATAAGATTTTTATGTATATATATGTTGCAAATAAGATTTTTTTATATATATTTGCAATTTTGCACATATAATGCAAATCTTACCAACAATCTTTGTGTTAGCATCAATACAGTAATAGCGATAGATACCGGATAAAAATTAAAGTGTATTAATTAAACTGGTATACATGATCGATATAATATAATTGATTCTACGCGACGATTACTAATAATTGCGGATTAACCATAATATATATATAAATTAATGTCAATATTAATTATTATCCCAAATATACGTAAATATTTTTTTTTAACAACGATATCACAAATATACGTATATCAAATAATAGTTAATCTTTATATAGACACAGTATATGCAGTTTATGCACTGCACGTATTTTGGTGGCATCTTATCAGTTATCGTAAATAAATTGCTGCGAATACATACCGTAAAAGAAGAAGTCTAGAACTATTTAGACAATCATTGTTTGTGCGTTATCGTTATATTGAAATTTATTTATTTTATTAATAACTTTTAATCTAAAATCAGAGACGATCAAGGAAAAAGCAGGATTTTTTTTTTTTTTCTTAAATAAACAATATATATATATACTATACATACATATATATATATATAATAAGCTAATATAAAAAGTTTTTGGCACGGGGTAATGCATTATGTAAAATTTATTAACGTTATTAAACTTTTCGAGTTTATCAATCTATATATATTCGATATGATATTGACTTACGGATTAACCTATAAAAATTTTAGTTAAAATTTTTTATCATTCCAATCATTATATAAAGAAAGAATAAGTTATCATGCATTTATTTTACTAAGGTATATCTCGGAAATGCTTTGAATGTTGTTTTCTGGTTTCTATTTTCAGAAATAGGAATGGTAGTAGTCAATGATGGCTTTTTTTTTTAAAGCATCGCACATGCCGATGGTCAAAATATTATTCATGATTAGTCACAAATAGTTAACATGTACGCCAGCTTTTATTGTGCGATTAAGCTTTAAATATTAAACGTAATGATACTTACATAAAAAAAAAAAAAAACTCGAAACTCGGTGCGTAGACGTAGATGCAATTAAAAAATGTTGCCTCCTGATCTGTAGTATCTATTCTTATACCATACAATTTGATAATTTGGGTAAATTTAATTGAGCGTACCGCAGTCAACTTCTTTGTTCCCACATATATTGTACGTATATTTCGTATCGTTGGCGCTTTTTATTATTTGTTATTTGTAATAGATTTTTTTTTTTTTTTTTTTTTTTTTTACATAGAGTATCAGAAAACTATACGTTGTTTCTATTACATTCACTATTATTATTATCATTATTATTATCATTATCATTATTATTATCATTATTATTATTATCATTATATTATATATTATTATTATTATCGGGACGGGATTATATAATAATTTTATTGAGAACTTAGTCAAAAAAAAAGGCTATTAAATACTCAATAAGTCAAACATAATAGTACGTACGTGTGTAATATACCTTATTATTGGATAATAATATCGTACGATCTTTTGAAACTATAGCACATATCCTGACTTTTTATAGCCAATCAAATTATCAAAAGCTTTGATCTTTTCCTAATAATTTTTGTTTTTTTGCGCCCACCTGTGTAAATAACAAATAGTACAGTAGTATGACTGGTCCATTCAAAATTGATAATGCTTGGAGAAACAAACAAATTCCTAATATAATACTTATGATGAAATACATGCTATTGTATATATACGTACACATAATGATATCATTTATTGAAGAGAATTCAATTATACATAATTATCGGTATATCTTAAATCTTGATTCACTAGAATTTTTATTATGAAATAAAGAACATTTTGTTAGACATAAACAACATAATTATAAACATATACGTACGCGCATGATCATCAATTCATTTGTAAAAAAGTTGTTCGAGTAACAAATTTACTTTCTTACTTTGTCTCATCGTACATAAAGTTTCAAACAAATCGTCATCATAAGACCAATAAAGTTATATAATAACCATTGATGCCCATTTCAAGATTTCAAAAGAAGTCATGTCCCAGGGAAAAGATTATTAGATAACATTTCTAAATGCAGAGATGAGTCTTGAGTAACTTGTGCTGCTTTTTTTCAATTATTTGATGTCGTAGTTTTGCATGAAAAAAATTTTAATCCTGTTATTATCAAGAAAAAAAAAAATTTTTAGCCCCAAAGATATCGGCAAATTTCTTTTGAAGTGTCAAAATATTTTGAAGAAAAAAAAAAATTTATATACATACATGCATATATGCATATATAGTGTTGTTTACAAAATGGAAAAACGTCATCTTATGTTTACCGATTTACTGTACAAAATAATGTTCCGACATGATGTAACTCTATGCTATATTTTTTACTGAAAATGGATTTTTAGTTGGCAAAAAATATCTGGTGATTTGATTAAAGGTATGATGTAAGACCGCGTGCATGTTATACATAACCTAGAAAGGTCTAAGATGTCAAAGTAATTCAACATTGACTTTTGATATCAAAAGTCAATATCAAGTCAATGTTAAGTCAATGTTAAGTCAATGTTAAATCATTGTCAGGTCAATGTCGAACTACAGTACTTTCGGTTCAACCACTATGTTACCAAAATCATTGTCGAATCACTTTAGGTTAGACCACTATGTTATGCTCAATGCATGCTTATTGATAGTCCTTTGAAAAAAAAAAAGAAGAATCTCAATTTCGTACAGTAATAACAGATAACTTAGAATAGAGCGTAATTAATTTTATTATTGATATTTGAGTCTCACCTTGACTTGCTTGACTTGATGAATATATTTTACTTACAAGAAATGTTATAACTTAAAAAAGTTACGACTGAAGCTATACATTGTGATATTGTGATATTGTGACATTGTGCACGCTACTCATTCGGTCGCATTGCAGCAATACCGCATTATTTGCCGCATTATTTGCCGCTATATTGTTTGATCGGCAATTAGTGCGGAATTAATGCGGCAATTGCGGTGGTTGTAAATTAAGCAATTGCGGAATGGCTGATCAGTAGTCTTAACATTTGGATTGTCCAAACCACGTGATAATCGAAAATCAAGGTAAAGCTTGAAGTATTATCTGTATTATCTATATTATCCATTATAGTGAATTAAAAGTAAAAAAAAAGTTTTTTTTTTAGAGCATAAAAGATAAATAATAGAAAAATTTTTTGAAAAAAGTTAACATTTTTGCTACACCTGAAATTTTCATATCACGTGGTATGTTTCGGCCTATCACGTGATCGGACAAACACTCCGAATGCTACCACGATCGTGAATTAGCTGATACTCATTTTTTTTCACGTTAGTGTTTCAGTCAAATTCGTATTTTGGTTGACAAAACCTGTATCATTTGGAAAAGAAAAATATAAAATATATATGCGTACATATGCGTATATATGCGTATAATATATGCGTATAATATATGTTTTAAATGTGTCAGAAATTTTTATTATAAAGCAAATCGTTATTTTTAAAGAAACGTCAAATTTAGTAACATTGTCTTTTTTGAACGTTTCTTTAATATTAGTAACAGTTTATATAATTGATTGAAGATAAAATCTGAATGTACTAAACAAATAAATTTATATTTCGTAAATACAGAAATAAACAAAGAAATAATAATAATAATAATAATAATAATTGTTTATATATTTCATTCAAAATAAGCCATGTAATTTTCATTATATTCATAATATTGCATGCTGTTGTTGTCGTCCTGTATGTTATCAGATATATTATTAGAGGCAAAATACTCGTTAAATTCCGTTGGTTCTTCTAAATAGTAAACTTGTTGTTGAGATTGAATTGTTTGTAAGTTCTTGTTGAAGTCATCTGTTTGAGAGTAAGTTGTTTGTGCTTGAGTCTTTTTCTTTCGTTGATTGGTCGGTGAATATTGTTTCCATGTCGCTTTATCTCTTTTTGGTTTATATTTATAATTTGGATTCTCATTTTTATGTATCTCTGCAACTTTAGCTGCTAACTTTTCATAATGATCTTTTTCTTCAGATGTAATTAAGTGCTTCCATATGATACCAATATACTTTGAAAATGTTCTTTCGTTATAATTCATTAATTTGGTCGTCCCTTTTTTTTGGTCATGAGCTACTTTACGAAAGATAATAAATTTATTACATGGTCGTTTTACTTTACCATCATTCTCTTCAACCTTTGGAGGATTTTTATTAAAAAATTCTTCTGCTGAACAAGGTGGTGGGAAAAGGCTTAATAAATTCTTTACGCGTTTAGCTTCTGTAAGTTCTTTTTTATTTATCGATAACTCATTTTCACATTCACTTCCAGCTGAAGTAGTTGTTGAAGTAGTTGTTGAAGTAGTTGTTGAAGTAGTTGTTGAGTGAGATGATTTCTTTTTAGAATAAGTTACATTTAAAAATTTTTCACTTAAAGATTTATTAAAATTAGATTCATTCTCGAAATCATTATTTAAAGGTGAGGTCGCACATGGAAACATGGAATTATTAAGACTGTTATTTAAAGATTGAGGACGAAAAGATTCGTCATATCTTCCTTGTGAAGGTTCTACAAAGTGTGAATATGCTATCATGTTAATAGAATATAACATTTATTTTCAGAACCTGATAAAAAAAAAAAAAGAGAAAAAGAAATAATGAAGATATACACACCTTTAAATACTTTGAACATTTTTAATACAGTATTTAATACATAAATGATATACATATACATAAATGATATACATATACAAACATGCGTATACACATGCGTATATCAAATAAAACAAAAAAAAAGGGCAATTTTAACAATGTTAAATGTTAGATGAGAATTGAAGTAAAAAAAATTAGAAACTTCTATAGAATTTCGACGGAATGGATCGCATCTTTTCATCTGAAATTGTGTTTATTTTAATATATATAAAAATTTCTCCGTACCGGACTATGATTTGCGTCACATAGATAAATATTGAAACTATTTTTAATCTCGAAATTTCTTTACATATTATTTATGCTGAACCCTACCCTAAAATGTTTCACCATTGATATAAACTAGTTATTATATGTACATCTTAACTTGATCTATTTTAAAATAAACCGCTACGCATTCCTAATTCATTTCAAATAACGCGCTTGAACCCGATAAATTTCTGTGTACTACATAATATGAATTTTTAATGAAGTTAATTCAGTAATTATATTGATAAATTCTTTGGTGAAAATTTCGTTTCTTTTTTTTTTATTATTATTTAGTCAGTTATTTATTATCTTTATAGTCGTTCTCTTGTTATCCTTTTATGTGCATTCAGTAATTACAAATCTGGATATATTTGATTAATTATATTATTTAAAATAACACGTCAAAAGATGTTTCTTTACGTGCTTAGTAGATCACCGAAAAATTTTCACAATGCTTCATAGTTTTATCATTTCGATTCATTGCATATTTACACTATAAAACTACATTCATTGAACACTATTTTTTTCATTGAATTGAATTTTGTTTGTAACATATAAAAAAAAGTTGATCCTGATCAATTCTCAATAGATTAGATGGGTAGTATGTATATGTCTGTTGACAAATTCACACATAAATAACATCTAAAAAAGAAATTCCAATGCTAAGCTATCCTTCCTTATTTTTGAGTAGGTAAACAAGAGTTTCCGTTTCATGTTAAATAAAGAATAAATATTTATCATATATGTATACTTGGCGTTCTCAAAGGAACAAGGGAAAAATAGGGATCTTTTTTTTAAAAAAAAGCACATTGTAATTCCATTTACTCAACTGCGAAGAAAAAGGTCATCAAATCATTACATATATTTTGCAATAGTAAATTTAAAATAATTTATATGTAATGTATTGTAATTACTTTATATAACATATTTGATATGTGGATCTTCAAAAAGAGAAAAAAAAAGATTGATAATGTAAATACTTACATAATAAAAAAATGCCTTATGTATCTAATTATGTATAATTTCTTTGGGAACTCGGAATTCCATGCCACTGATCATACGTACTAACGTAAATCTTTTAAGATACCAAATCAGGGTTTACTATATCGGGTTAGTATATATTTACTGCACATATCATTAATAACATTAATAACATTATTCATAAATATCACTGCACATATAATTAATATCATCAATAACATTATTTATATCACTCCCATATCACACACAACTTCAAGTTTAAAATTATTGATAAAATTGAAATCATCACAATTACAGAATTAAGAAGCATTACTGTAATGTAGTGTTTGTTTACACGACAATAAAAGTCAACCATCGAAAATTTTGCACATCATTTATTACACAAAAAATTTAATATTGTATTGATTATTAAATTCGATTGTAAATTATGAGAATATTTTAATATTATTTTTAAGCTATAAGAATTTCTTTTTAAAGTATAGTGTAAGGATAGTGTAAGAAAATTGAACATATTTCTAAGAGAAACGTAAAATAATTGGTTCCGATATTTTTGTTTTGATATACCTTTATAGCGCGATCTAATTCCTTTTTTGTGAATTACGGCAGTAGGGCTGAATCTTCATTTTCAAATTTTAATGCACATCAGCGTAGTAATTTACCAAATACGCGTAGAAAATATCTATAATATCTAATAAAAAAAACCTTTGTAATATTTTTAATTTAAATCCAGAATGAAATCAGAATAAAAATTTAAAATAATCTTTATAAAGTCGGAGATATAACTTTATATTACCCCGGATACTATATAATATAATAACAATTTTTTTTTTTTGACCAGAAAGAATATTCTACATCATTTATTGAACCCATGTTATATTACAATGTTGCACGGCATATATATTTAGAGAAGTATATCAACATTATAGATATATCTCTTTGTCTTAAGTAACCGCGTTTTAACTTTATTCTTTGTACGGATGTACAATATATATTTTACTTTGTCTTAGACATGCCTGACCCTCATGGTTGATGAACGTAATACGATCTAAATTACTTTATCTAAAAATGAAGTCATGCCTGTCCCCTAAAGTTCATGATGCCTGACCCTCATCTTTTTCACGGGTACTAACGTTGATAGTATTGGTGTTGTTTATAGTGCATGCAGCTTTTGTTTTTTCTTTAAAAAAAAAAAGAAAGAAATGAAAATGCTAATAAAAAATGATAATAAAAATGATTGTTGGATATGTATATATATAAAGTTCATCCCCCTTAAACATTAAACTTTTAACGAAAATTGACCAAACTCTTAAATAGTAAAGTTGATTTCAAAACAACCTATTATAAGTATTATCGATACCAATCATTGAATAGGCTAAATTATAATTTGTATCTTTACGTAAGATTCGTAATCTCTTAATATCGTAATCTAGAAACAAATTATTACAAAAATTTGCCCGATAATTATAATTATAATAATTATAATAATAATTGACCCTGCAGGTTGCCTAAACTTAAAAAATTTACAATTTACTACTTGGCGTAATATCTCAAACAACTTTACTATAAGAAAGTAAGTTGTATTACATCTAATTCCCAAGGTTCATATTAGTGGTACTCATTGTGCAATCATATTAGTAATATTGTGCTGGCTATGGCAAAACTGAAAAAAACACTCTTTACGTCAGTGCGTAGTTCGTAAAAATGCTAGCCCATACCATACCTGATACGTTATACGTAACATTATTGTCGGTCGTGATAAAAAAAGCAAAAATCATGACTGACCCTCGTATAATAGTTCATGGGTGCTAAACAGTGTGGTACATTCCTGTATAGTGATGCGACTAACGATATTAAAAATAGGTGATACTTTAATTGTTACATTCGATAATTTATGAAGAATAAGTGACAGTTGAATTTTTTTAGCATCTTTAGTCCCATTAATATGTCTGTGTTTTATACTTAAAGTATTTGCGCGACTATCCAAAAAAAAAACAAATGTTGATAATCTACAATTTATAAGTGATTGCATATGTTATTGTCGATTGCTGGAAAGTTTCTGTCATTTTATTAGCATTACATACGCACATACTGTACACGTACGTACGTACATATTGTACGTATTTGAAAATTATTTGATAAACATACATTATATGTTCGTACATAAATCAAAAAAAAAAAAACGTTACATATAAATTTTTAATCATTTTATAATCATTCTAGATTTTTAGTGGGTAGTGGAGATTTGTCTCCGAGAGTCTCATCGTACAGTTTAATTTAGTTGGTTTATGCAAGGGATTAAGGGATTGATTATCACGTGAAAAAATGTTAAAATGTCGCTATTCTCTTATTGTTAAGTTGTATGATTGAATGTAAGCTGTAAATCATCAATCACATTACTGCATTAAGCAATTATTTTTTTCACACGTTTTAGGTGTAGAATTAACTAACTAAATAGGAAATTTTAATAGTAGAACCAATAATAAAAACTATATCGATATCGGAATATTCGGCGGATTTAAATTCCGTTCTTATAACGTAATAATGATCCATAACCTTTTAGACTACCTCTAGAATTTTTCCAAATTGATTACATACAGCCAACGTGTGTCGTACCCATATCTCAAACTGAAACATTTGTGAAAGAATTGGTTTTCTAGATACAGTAGAAATTTGTGAAACAGAAATGTAACAGTTCTTTTCGTTAATAGAAAAGTCTAATCACACCAAATGACTATATTTGGTTTTATAAAGAAATTATATGTTACATAAAATCATAAATTTCCGTGATCATGATACGTAATTTAATAGCACAGTAGTAAAATGATATCATGTTATAATCAGTTAAAGAGATTGTTTTCCAAATATATTAACTCATCTTAGTCTAGAACATTTGAATTTAATTTCTAAATTTTCTTTATAGAAAGTTCAGAGTTTATAAATGAAACAATGTTTACTCAAATTATTTAGGAAAATTATGGAAAATATTAACAATGAGTAGTATTCATGCGTATAACGACAATGATGTTATGATTGTAATATTACAGTATTATGATCTAATTTATAATAAATTAAACTTTAAAAGTTTTTATTAACATCATATTAATTTTTCTTTGATATATATACTGATTTTATAATAAACTACAGTATATATTATTTTTTTTTTAAAAAAAAAGAGAATCAAGTTTTGACTATTTTGACTATTCTTCTGATAGCAAACTTATAAGCTATAAAAATTTACAAGTAGTTTTAATAGACAAATATATGCTAAAACAGCATTGTCATCTGCGAATTCATTTAATATATATGAAGATCATTTATTATGTACTGTACGTATGTACAAGATTAATATAAATAAAAAGTATAAATTATATAAAATAAAAAATAAAATATTACAATATATTTTAATAGCATACAATAACAATAATTATATTGTAGAAAATCATCTAAAAAAAACCATTATATTAATTTTCATCTAGAAAAAAAAAAAAAAAACAACGTGCTGATATTATTATGAGAATCCTTAATGTTAAGAATTATATATTAAAGAGTTACGTACGTACGTAACGTGTAATCTGTAATACGGGATGATCATAATTATAGAATACCACTCAGAAATTTTCCATGAGATAACTAGCATTTAAATTATTAACACCAAATAAAATAATTACCAAATATGTCTAAATGCTAGTAAAACATTTGTATTACGGAAGCTTTGGAAGCGCCAACGTGGTTGCACAATCAAATTGAAACAAAGTACTAAAGTATCGGATGACAACTCCGTGCATTTGACGTACAAAAAAAATGGTGATGATGTTTTTTGTTTCTCCACTAATTTCTTTTTTGCATAACAACACCAAAAAAGAAATCTTACATAGAAAATAAACAATAATGATAATTTTTCAAATATGGATGTCGAAAAAAATATAAATATGAGGCACCTCCTCACCGTAGAAATCTTTGTAGTCTAAAACATTACCAAAGTGCTATAATACAAAGGATAACAAAATAAGTTACCTTTCCCTCCCCATACAAATTTTATAGACATCCTCCAACTTTAGAACTGGCATCACCATCGGACTTGCAAGCAAGGTCCCTTTGCCAAAATATATTAGATATTTATTTCAATATCAACATCATAAACCTCAGCTTTAATTATAATCCTATAATTTTTTCTCTTTAATCCTTACCCCCAAAGAAATAAATGGCGCCCGCTAATCGCCACAAATCTAGCTCTAATAGCTCATCGGATCCATCGGTGGTTGGAAATGTTGAACAAAAGGTTGACGAATTCGTTAGACAAGTTGACTTAGAACAATTATGTTCTCCAATTGAAAACTCTGAACCTTTGTTAACAAAAGGCCCGGGAAAAAATAACCCAGTTGGCAGACCATCTAATTGCTTCTTCCAATTTAAAAGAGTTGTCTCTACATATGCTACAAATAGGCATATTCCAGGTTATAATGATCAAAATATTCTTTCAAAAGCTCAATCTAAACTTTGGAAAATGATCACTGAAGAACAAAAAGATCATTTTAAGAAATTAGCCAAAGAAGCCGCAAGAATTCATAAAGAAAATCATCCCGATTATGAATTTCATCCACATAGAGACAAATCTGTTCTTAAAATAAAAATGAATAATGGAAATCAATCAAAGAAGAAGAAAAATCCGATGGAAAAACCAGATCAAAAGAATCAGAATATTATAACTAACCAAGATTCTAATAATTGGAATCCCGATCCGAATGTGGGGGCATTCGGTATCGTGATTAATTCTGAGGAGGATGTCTGTGGGCAAAATTATGCCTACAACAATAGCACTACCGCGCTTCGATCTATCAATGATGACTCTGACTGTATGGGGAGTTTAAGTCAAGACGAGTTGATAGGCTTCCAGGATATGGACACACCACTATTTTATTTAAGTCCACCGGAAGAACTCAGCGCTTATCCTGTTTCTCCTACTAGTCCTATGCTTATAGTTTCGCATTCGGAAGTACCATCACCGTATCCATCACCAATTTCTGATGATAATAATAATTTCCAATTTGTGCCTATAGAACAACCAACGACCCCGTTAATTTTGGAAATACCTGATAGTAATAATAATATGTTGATGATAAATATGAATGATGCAATGAGCAATTTATCTTGTTCTAGTTCGCCGACACTTTCCAGCTATAGCATACAACCTTCACCAAGCATGGAGAATACAGAATATTTTCAACCATCTTTTACGGATAACTGTACAAACATGATTTCGGTCTATCCAGATATTGTCGCAAGTTCAGATTCTAATCTCTTTTTGACATCATTATTCGACCAAAATTTTTATTAAAAAAAAAAAAAAAAAAGACATTTTTTTTTTTCATAGAAGATTAGAAAACAAAATGCATTGACAATCTGAATATATATTTAGTCGCTAGACATTTGAATAAAGAAAGGTCTTAACGAATTAACAAATAGTACTACCTATATATCATCTATAGTATCTATACTATCTTTTAGAGGACAATTTTCTTTTTTTTCTTTTTCATTTTTTTTTTAGTATATAATTTGGTTTGTCTTTCTGATTGCTTTTTTCAAACCGTTCCTCCCAATAGCCTAACCTATGCCATTATATGCATTCTTTATGTTATGATTACTAAGTTAAAGGAGCTAAGCAAAAAAAAAAGACAGTATTCTATTTATATATATAAAGAAATTTATCTATATGTAAATATGTAAATATTATACGAACTTATGGTATATAATAAAGAATAGATTTCATCAAATTGAACTAATTGAACTTATAATTATTATTTTTTGTGTTTAAATGCTTATTAAATTAAAAATTGGTGCTCATTTTTATAAGAAACTAATAAGTAACACGTATATATGTTACTGAATTATTTTCTTTTGTCGGCAACCATTATAATAATTGGTATTCATTATTCGAAAATCATTCGAAGATTTTGTGCCGGGTTCACCTCTCAATTTCATAAATTTAAATTGAAACTTTGAAATAAATCTGTGAGAAAAAAAAAAAATTGTATAAGTTTAATTTATAAAAATTCTTCATAATAGGGATTTTTTTTTAAAAACTCACATTCAAAATTTCGAAACTCCGGAAATTAGGAAAGAAATAAATGTCACTAAACAAAAGACATGACTTCTGAATAAATCCCTTTTATTTATAAAAATCAATTAATAAAGGAATAGTGATAAAAGGAAAAGTGCTTTCGTTGATCTTTATTTTTTTTTCATCTATTTAGCAAATTAATGAAAAGAACCCGTTTTTAGTGCCATTTTATTAAAATTTCGGTGAACCAAATAGGTAATCCCATTATTTAAATTTGAGGTGGTACATACATATTAGCAATAATAAATTCTTTACTCTCCCGGTTTTAGAACATCCGAAAGGAACTCTCTGTGCATACTAATAACGAGAAAGTTTGTAATGCATCGAAGCGTACACTACGTTTCCTAACATTCTTCACTCCTAAACATCTACCCAAAAAAGAAAAATTTTAAAGATCTTTTTCCAATAATTTATCCATTTGGCATATAGATAACTGAAAATTTCCTGAATTGCGACTTATAATATAATTAATTACCGAGCCATTTGAACACAACTTATATTGCCGCATTGTAAATACGGCAACGTGGCATTTTTTAAACCGTCAATTATAATTTGCTCTTGAATAATTAACCGCAAGCCTTCATTTCTTTGTGTTCTTTTGCCTTTATAGTGAATGAATTTAATTCAGTTTAGACAGTCCTGTTTTATACATAATTACGAATTATAAGGTTATAAATTTCAACATATCAAACTATTTCTAAGATTACTACAATTTATAAAGAATTATTAAATTCTCATTCTATTCAATGTAGTGCAATGTTGAGCTAAAGAGTTTGAAACCTAATTGTTAAGGCTTCTTCTTTACTATTAAATAACACTTTGGTATATCCTCATATTACAATGAAATTTCGGGTTTTTTAAATTATTTTTCAGTTAATTGCCTTGTATCTCATATTTCGGTATTTAATGAATTTCATTGCCTTTATTAAATTTTCTTTTTAAGTCAACTAATGCGGTGAACACGTACACGTACGTGCGTACGTACGAATTGATAAAATTTGGTTACGCATATGCGGTCAAAAAATTAGGATTATAATTGATTGGAGGTTAGGGTTAGAACAAATAACCTAAGTAAGATTACGTCTAGCATTTGTTATACATCAGTTTTGGCATCTTTACTTTTTATCTTCAGTCTGATCCGTTTTCTATCAAACAATTTCTATCAAAATAATTATCAAATAAATGAGATTATATAGTATATATATAATAAAGTTTGGGTTTTAAGAATGTTTACTTGCTTCATAGCAATAGATGAATCATGGCTCAATTTCATTCTATAAAAAATCCGTGAATTACGTAATGCTTGCAAATTTTAGCAAAATTTTATAAAAGACAAAAATGCACGTTATTTTGAGATGTTATGCTGGCATATAATCACATGATTTAATTCAGCTTAAATGCTGGCCATACTGTATCGATAAGATTAATACTCGCCGTGTATAAACTGTGTTGGAATAATGTCTATTTTTAACCATAGAGAATTAATGTTCATATTCATTATTATTATTTTGTTAAAGAAATTATTATCATATAAGTTCTGGCGTTAAATCGAATCTAGTTGCCATACGGCAAATTCTCAATTTTGATTGATTGTTATATGTAAACGATATGCTAAATGATGGCCTTTTATTTTTTTTATTTTTATTTATTTATTTTTATTTATATATATATATATTATGTTTTTAACTATTTTTAACTGAGGTAATTTAACTACAGGTCTACCCTCGTTTATATTAACCTATTTGAATTGGTTTAAATTCATGTTGATAGTGATATTAACAAGGGATTATATT